AAAAAAATTAAATTGATTCATTCTGCATTAAAATTTGTAGAATTTATAGTAGAGTGCCTTTGTTTTATCTTTGGATAGAAAATTCTAATATTTATCAACATTCATGAAATACCTATAAAGATAAATTCTATGTTCCATATTTTGCACATATGTAATTTGTATTCTCAATGACTTGGCTAACCTATAGCTTTAGGGGGAAAGGGGATTATATTAAACATTGCACAAAAGAAAAATTTTGCATTACAAGTTTGCAGTATTACTCTGTAATGTATATTTATTTCACAGTCTTAGAATTTCTGCATAAAATTACAAAATACAGGAGAATAAAAGTTTTTAACCTCATTTTTGGTAGCAGAAAAATTGTTAATGCTAATAATCTATATTCTCGGGAAGGTATTATCTCTGTTGCATAGCTTGATGAATGTCGTTTTCTACTGCAGCTGTTAAGGGAACTGCAGTTCTACAGTTTTTGTTACCTGCAGAAAGGAAATTATCTTGAGAGACAAGGCCATCATAAACAAATTAAAGTAATTTTATCTTTGAAATATCCACTAAAATTAATTATATCTAGGTTGTTTAATTATTTGAAATTTAACATTACTGTGATTTTACTGTTACATTGATATATAGCATGGGATGATGCTGCAATTTTTAAAACAAGGACTAAATATCTAGGAGATTCCTCTTATGTGGAGCGACTTCTTATGTATTAGCAGTGACAGATGCTGTTATCTGTGGCCTATTATCAACTTAAGAATAATAAAATACAATGGTACTTTAAAAAAGTTCTAGCTATATTTTAACACCCAAACACATGTGGTACATTTGTATTATGAAATGCAAAGTTTTTCCTTACATTTGGTTTACTTTATCATATTCTAAAGAAATGAAATTACATCTGCACATCTAAGAGCTGACTCACCTTGTTAATTTTAGAATTTATCTAATTATACCTTCAGAAACATATTGATGCACCTACTCTATACCGATCAATATGAGCATTTCCTATACCTACAGATCAATATGAAGAACCTTTTAGGGGCAGAAATGTTGAATGGCTAACAGGGTATAGGCGTTGGGATACGTCTCTGTGGATAAAGAGATTGGCCTTACATTTTGACAGTGATGGGCAGAGAGAATGCTGGGTAGGCCATTGCAGGAAATGGGGAATTTATACTTGTACACTAATGCAGGTTCCCTCTTCTATCCCAGTAAATGGTGGTCAGATTATTCAGTGATTAAACTCAGGTCAGTGTTAGTAAATGCCAGGTGTGTACATAATAAAACTGTATCCGTCTATGCTTCAATGATGATGAGCATGTAGATTCTAGTAATATGATTTGGTTAGGCACTAATGAGGCAGTTTTGCTCTTGCAAGTTTCAGATTCTTCATGAATCATTATACCAAGTGTGGGGAGGATATGTGGCCACAACAATTTAAGAAATCTAGGGAATGATCAGTACTGCCCTGGTGCTAACTAGATGCAAGTCACATTATGTTAGAGTGAGGCTGAGGCTCTACAGGGTACAGACACAGTATTCTTTATTAAAGGAATGGATTTGTGGTTTGTGGTTCCTTTTTGACTCACAGTATCTGGTGGAGGAAGTTATGGCCAAGTAGACCTTTGGTTTGTTTTGGTTGGTGCATAAATTATAGCCCTGCTTGGAGCAAGAGGCATTGGCAACATTGACCTTCATCACATGCTTAAATCAATACAACATACTACATGGAGCTGAGAGATTGTTGGTGGGTAGAACATCTTATTCTTTGATTCCTGCATTTAGTTCCAATTTAAAATAGAGTATAACCTATAAAGCTTTATAAAGTATAGTGCCACATTGCAACAAGGACTGCCTGTTAGGTCAAGTGGGACCCTGTTGAGGATAGCACCAACCATATGAAGGGAGGTTTGAACTAGAAGACAAGATGCTTTAGTTGTTTTAGTTTAGTTGTGAAACATGTTGACTCTGCAAATTCTTTGGGCCACTTTTCTTCTGGTTTTTAGAACTTTTGAAAATCTTTTAAGAGGAACTTTCATGAAATACAACATTTTTTTTCATTGATGTCATTGTATGGTAGAATGGTTGTTGAGATCCTTCTAACTCATCCAAAGTTAGGGGATTGGAGCAGTATAAAAATTACATAAATTTCACACTTCAGGTGTTATAGAAAGTTCTTTTGACATTAGATAAAATAATCAAATCTATAGAATAAAAATATTCTGGGATAGCTATGAATTATTTGTAAGCAGACATTTTTAAAAACATTTGTTCCACTTGTTTAGAAAGTGAGGTAGAAAGGTTTACTGAACTCATACGACAAATTACACATTTTGAAATATTTTAATTTAATATATGATGTATAAACACTAGGCAGAATTCAACCTCCAGTACTCTGTGTTTTTTGAATTTTTTGGGAATCAGCGAAAGGGGAGCTACTGCCATTCAAAATATAATAAATAAATAAATCCTAAGAATAAACTAGGAATACCAGATGCTGCATAATCAGTGTAAAAAAATGCAAGCCAGGTGAATGAATTGTTTTCAACATTTAATTTAAGAGAAAATGCTTAAGGAATATAAAAGGAGTATATAGACATTTAAAAATGTACTATGCCAAGACTATGTGGATAAGAAAAAAACCTTTCCCTCTTTATACACTATTTTGTATTTGTATTTTATTAAATTTATATGCCGCCCTTTTCCCTGGGGGGACTCAGGGCGGCTTACAACTTAAAAAGGGAAGGGGGANAGCTGGCCCCCCCTCTCTTCGCAGACACAGAAGCTGCAAAGATCAAAAAGGCACTTGCTCAACAGAACTCCTCTCCTTCCCTTCTTGCCCGAAGAGTAAGGTACCTGTCAGACGTCTAATAGATGATCTTCTAAACAGATAACGCAACCAGGAACTCGGGAGCAGCTATGTTAAGCTGCTTCCATCAGTAAGCCCCTCCCAGGAAGCCGTTATATGTGTTTTTATGTTGTACGCCGCCCTGAGTCCTTTGGGAGAAGGGCGGCATATAAGTCCAATAAAACCAAACCAAACCACTGGCTTGCACACATTGTTGCTATCTTTTTCTTGGACTTTTTGCACTTGCACAGACCTACATCCTCCTTCCCTCACCCTGAACTGTGTTATGCTCTCTTTCCCTTTGCCTCCCTAGTCTCACACCATGCTGTGTCACCCCTCAGGTTCTTTAAATTTATACTTATCAAGAATTTAATACAGATAGTCCTTGACTTACAACAATTCACTTATTGACCGTTCAAAGTTATAATGGTACTGAAAAAGCAACTTCTAACCATTTTTCAGAGTTATGACCTTTGCAGCATCCCCATAATCATGTGATCAAAATTCAGATGCTTGGCAATATTTATGACCGTTGCTGTGTCCCAAGGTCACATGATCCACTTTTGTGATCTTCTGACAAGCAAAGTCAATGGGGAAACCAGACTCACTTAACATCCAGGTTACTAACTTATCAACTGCAATGATTCAGTTAATAACGGTGGCAAGAAAGGTTGCAAAATGAAAGCAAAATCTCACTTAACAACATAAATTTTGGACTCCATTGT